CCCCCCCTCCCCCCCCCCATCATGGAAGATAATTTTTGAATGATTCTAAAACATCAACTAGAGAGAGTCATAATTTACTTAAAGGGCCCTAATGTATTTACAGAATATATTCTGTTACTAAAAATAATATTTGAAGAAGATAATACTTTGCTTGTTAATGGGAGTAAAACACCTTTTCACTTTACATGCAGGTACTCAAAAATTGTAAAGCAGGATGTCAGTGAATTTGAATTCTGAACGTCAGTTTGAAGATGGTAACATGTTTAGTATATAAATCTTTTCCACTCAAACTACACATTTTAATTGATAGTAACAAATATGAATAATTTTATAAAGACCTTCAAATTCTCTCAGATAATGTTAGGTTCCTTACTATTAGGAGGGCGTATTATTAAGCTGTTTGTAGAAGCAGTTTGACATAGTGATTCTGTGTCTTTTTGCAAGTGATAGATCATTTAGTTAGAAGAATAAAACTTGAGTTTATTTAGCCCTTATCATTTACATTAAAACGTTTACAGATATTTTGGCATCATTTGGTACACTTTTTCATACTTACAGTTTTGTGTCCATTAGAAATTCATAATAGTTGACCATAATGCTTTATTTTCTCTTCCATTTTGCTATTTGATGAAAAATCATGGTCGTTTTTATGTCTTGGCAAGAGTCTACTTGAAATTTTTTAATAATGAATTTACCAATATCAAAGGAAGACATTGAGGACTATATCTAGGAAGATGACCCAAGCTGTGCCCTGCTTACCTTTTAGACTTAAGGTTGGTAAGCATGTTAACAACAGAATAGAACTGCATTCCAATGAAAGATAAATAAAAACCCAGCAGATGTAGGTTAAGACCTCTTTCACCCAAGTGTCTGTACTAATAAATACATTAAGTTGGGGATTATTTCTCAGTAATGACCCAAAAAATGCTGATTGTTTCACCATTTTAGTCAGAATCATCTGTTCCTTTTTCCCCCCTTTTAATCCAAAATGTATGTTTAGATTGATGATTGACATGCCTAGTTTTACCAGGTCACAGTGCTTGAGTGTCTTAGACCATGTTCACCATTTTTCTTTTTAGCTGCCTCTGGAGATGTACAAACATACCAGATTCGCACAGCACCCACTAGCACCATTGCCCCTGGAGTAGTTATGGCATCCTCCCCAGCGCTTCCTACACAGCCCGCTGAAGAAGCCGCACGGAAGAGAGAGGTTCGCCTAATGAAGAACAGGTACATATGTTGCATTTACTGAGATTGTTGTAGGTCAGGTATGTCTTCACATTCTTCCAGATGTATGTCTTTTACATCTGCTGACAATAGGATTTTTGTGTTAAGTTTTTTTTCTGGTAGAAGTGATGGATCTTGCTAAAATTTTTGTATTTAATAAGCTACACTAATGAGATCACTAACAGGATTATGGGTTAATATTTGATCATAAAGTAGTTTTCTTTCATGCAATTTCCCCGTGAGAGGTTTAGTGCACAGTTGGCTATATATTCATTAGGCTTTAACCAACTGGCTAGGTTATTTAAAAATTGTTTCTTTTCATGAGCAGTATATTTAAAGATCAAGAGTTTCATGTCTGTATATTAAAATTAAATGTTAAATTTATTTGTAATATAGTAAGTGTATAATGGCCAATCCATGTCTTAATGAATATTACCTTTACTCAAAATAGTAACAGTTTAACACCTAAATATCATTTGAAAATAGATGCCAGCTGGGCATGGCTCAGCAATTGAGCATTGACCTAGGATCCAGGAGATCTCGGTTCGATTCCCGGTCAGGGCACATGCCCGGGTTACGGCTCGATCCCCAATTGGGGGCGTGCAGGAGGCAGCCGATCAATGACGACTCTGACATCACTGATGTTTCTCTCTCTCTCTCTTCCTCTCCCTTCCTCTCTGAAATCTTTATAAAAGATACAAAAAAAGTAGATTAAGTCTAAGAATACCTTATAATTGACAAAATCTTAAATAGAATTAGTCTTCAACAATAAAAATGGTACATATGAAAAATTACTTCTTATAAAGTAAATTCATAGCTGTAAATGGTTTTGTCAAAAAAACCACAACAGAATAAAATATTTTTATTTACTTATATTTACCTTAGGATTTTAATATGAGTAAAAATGTCATTTTTGCTTATAGGGAAGCAGCACGAGAGTGTCGTAGAAAGAAGAAAGAATATGTGAAATGTTTAGAAAACAGAGTGGCAGTGCTTGAAAACCAAAACAAGACACTGATTGAGGAGCTAAAAGCACTTAAGGACCTTTACTGCCACAAATCAGATTAATTTGGGATTTAAATATCACCTGTTACGGTGGACAAAGAACTGGCTTGGCCACAACCAGAAAGACAAAATAAACATTTTATTTTCTAAACATTTCTTTTTTTCTATGCGCAAAACTGCCTGAAAGCAACTACAGAATTTCATTCATTTGTGCTTTTGCATTAAACTGTGAATGTTCCTACACCTGCCTCCTCTTCTCCCCTCAAGAAATTTTCAGCACCAGGAATCATGAAGAGACTTCTGCATTTCATCCCCCACCCTCCTCAAGAAGTAATTGGTTTACTTGTAAATTGACGGGGGAAATGAGGAAAAGAAATTTTTTTTTAATGATTTCAAGGTTTGTGCTGAGCGCCTTGATTGCCTTAGGGACAGAATTACCCCAGCCTCTTGAGCTGAAGTAATGTGTGGGCCGCATGCATAAAGTAAGTAAGGTGCAATGAAGAAGTGTGATTGCCAAATTGACGTGTTTCCACATTTTCATTGTGAATTATGTAAAATCGTTAAAAGACATACCCCCTAAAGAATTTTAGTATGGTGTTGAAGAAAGTAAGAATGAATTTGGAGTGCTTTCTATGTACATTCTCTTCAATACTGAAAACTTGTCCTTGATTCTTAAAAACATTCTGTATTAACTGCAGCTCTTCCATAGGGCAGTTGTTGCTTCTTAATTCAGTTATGTATGTGTTCAACATTTTGAATACATTAAAAGAAGTAACCAACTGAATGAAAAAAGCATGGTATTTTAATTTTAAATTAAACTGAAGTAAATATAAGTACAAAGTTTGTTTTAGTTAGTACTAAATTCTTAGTGAAAAAATGCTCTACTCAAACCAGCCCTCTGAGTTATATAACAAGGTTTTTAAATAAATGTTTTTGTCATCGCCTTCAAAAATATTTATATTGTCACTCATTTACTTAAAAAATGTTTCCCAATTAAACTGTTCCCATTTGCACTTACATTATACCACCAACAGGAAAGCCTTCAAGATGTTAAGCAGAGTGGTATGTTTATAAAATGTTGTGTTGTAGAAAAATACTTATTTTAAATCTTTTCCATATTAACATACTTTAACAGAGTATCTGTAGTGAACTTTTTAATGAAGTTGTAAGGATATAGCTCTGAAAAGTACACTATTAGATATGACAAGGAAAGTAATTTTCTTCAGACATGTTCGAATGACTGCTGTACTACAGTATTTGGATTATCGTTCTTGCAAACATTTGTTTTCTTCTAAAAAGGATAATTATGCTTCAGGTTTCCAATATGCTATATAGTCTTTGTCATTCTATAAAGGAGATACCTTTTTTACTCCTGACTGTAACAGTCTGTGTTGGTATGTATCATACATTGTTTCCAATACTACTTTTTAGTACTCATTTTATTCACTAAACCTGATAAATCTAAAAGTTATCCTTTAAAAGATAAAACTAAAGGAAAAATAAGTCTACGGTGGATTTTAAGAATTGGAGACTGACATAATGTTAGCTATAATTTCTCATTTGAGAAGGTTATTTCTTTTAGAAGAGAGTCTAGAAAATTAATGTTTTATATTTAGTCATGGGTTATTTTTTTAAAGTTTACTTTGTTAATGTGTTAAAATATGCAGATGGGTGTTAATTACTAGGTCCATTTTGAAAAGTAAGATTTTAAATTAATATTTTTAAATGGTATATTTTTGTTTGTAACAAACCATTGTCTTTTTTCAAGGATGAACAGAGTTTATGAAGGAGCATCATTCTAGGAATTGAGTGATGTAGTATATTTGGACAATACACCAGATTCTCAAGAAGGCTTTCAAACGACTGTAATGGTTGATGTTTATCCTGCTGAGCTAATGGGGAAAGTTATAGTGTAAAAATTATTTGTATATCAGCATAGAGATGTCATTTTCCAAAACTGGTTTAACAGAAACCAAGCAAAATCACAAATCTGTTCACCAACTAGAATTCTTTCATAATGAATCAAAATGTCAAAGTGAACATTTTGAATGTTATAAGCTTTATAAATGAAAATTGTCTAGATTTAGCAAGTTGTAAACTGAAGTTATATGTTTTTCAAAAGTTGGAGCTTTCTGTTTAATTAGAAATTTGGTGGTCCCCATAGTCCCTGATAAATCAAGGCAGTCATTTCCATAGTAGCTGGTTGGATTTGTAAGTTATAAAGACGGTCCTTTGTACTTTGAGGATGGTTGCACTGGTTTGAAGTCAGTTACTTAATGCTGAGGTAACATGTATTCTGTTGCTAAATCTGTTGTAGACCCTTGGAGAGACTTGAATATTTCAGTTTATACAGATAGAAATTAAGCATCTTTTGAGCAGACTTTGTTGTTTTTTTACAAGAATTGGGGGAAAGGTGTTAGTTTTTAAGCATGCAACTTTGAGATTTTTTATTAAGAAAATGACATAATTAAAAAAACACCTGTAGCCAAGAACATATGTGGCCATGTTACCGGTAATAATTGTTTTTTTTCTCTTCGTATTGGCCAAAAGGGAATGAAAATGTCATCATAGGAATCTGTACATATGCTACTGATTTGTCTAGAAAATAGTTTGTTATCACTTTGCAAACATAGGGCCATGTGGCACTTTTATCTATAGGACAGATTAATAAAAATGAAGTGGGAGGGGGTTTATTTTTGATATTACTCTTATTAATTTTCAAGTTTTGATAGTGTTTAACTGAAAAGTGGTTTAGAAAGGGCTAGATCCAATGTGTTCACATTAAAAAATTGATATCAGATGTAATTCTAAGTTCATTCTTTTTCAAACTCAAGTACCATATTGGCAACCATAATATTGTCATAGGTGCTCTGTTCTTTAGATATTCTTGGGGAGGGGGGGTGGCATTTGTATAATATATGTGTACATATATATATATACATACAGTATATAATCTGAAGCTCTGAGAGCTCTTAAGTCAGGAATGCTGAGTATTATAGTATATTGAGGTCAGATGAAATTTTACATTTTTGCGTGTTCTATTGCATATCTTTTGGTAGTTTCTTGGACTGCATTACTCCAGCACTCATGATTGATTTTTGTTTTTAATTTTCTTCCAAGTGTTTTTTGTTTTGTTTTGTTAGTTTTCTTTGGCTTGATACTTTTAAATATGTTACTAGTCACTTGAAAACTCCCCTCCACCCCCCAAAGTATTTGGTTTTTATGCTTTGTCTCTGGCAGCTATAACAGTGGTAAGAACATTTTAAAGATAACTTTTAAGAGGTACCACTGGTATTTCAGAAATCATCCTGGGGGAGGAATTTCGGTATTTTCATTTGAGCAGGGATTTTGTCAGAAAATGTGTTTTGATGGTAGGTCAGCAGCAGTGCTAGTATCTGAAAGCACAATACCAGCCAGACAGGCTGTCCAATCAGAAGTCATCTGGCTGAAGTTTATCTCTGTCTCTCAGGCCTAATCCCTACTATCATTTTGACCATTTGGGTGACATGTGGAATCATACAAAGGCTTAGGAAGAAACAAGTTTGTTTAAACCAGGATGCTTTTACTTACTTGAAGTGACTTCAATCTAGATTTCTCCTTTTTATTTTTAATATATTTTAAATTCTGTGATCAGCTACAGTCAGCATAAATTCGTCTCTATTTTGAAGATCAAAAAGGCTGCTTCATTTTGCAGGATTAAATAAAGTTTATATCTTAAAGTTAAGATTTTGAATTAAAGTGCGTTTTAGAAACAGTGGTTATATACCTTTTCAGTTATTTTCAAGGGGCTTTATTTTATTGCCTTTGTAGCCCTGAAAACTGGTGGTATATTGTTTCCCATGACTTAATACAAAAGTTGTATATTTGTCTGGATTGTATTTACATTATATTGTTTGTAAATGTTTGGTGTAACTTGCACTTTTAAAAATGACCCAGTTTGGTGTTAGCAACTTGAGAAATTCCCGCATCAATTAATTGTCAACAGGCTTTTTATGTCTTTCTCCTTTCTTCAAATAATGGGACTTCTTTTAAATGAAACTTTTCATTGATTGAAATATTTTAGCCCCTAAAGGATAGCCTTGTAATTGTAAAAGAAAAACATTAAGAAATTAAATTTGACCAGCCCTGTTAGAAGATGGGCTGGACCCTTATTCTTTTTCATCATGAATAGAGATAGACAGAAAAGCAACTCAAGTGAGAATTTCCAGCTTTGAAGGATACTTGTCCTCACCTCGACATTAATACTGTCTATAGGATTCCGATGTCCATGGATATGTCCAGAATGGTAAGAGAATTTTCAAGGCAATTAATTATTGTCATAGTGGAGACCACATGTATTCATTTGACTAAATTTATTTCACTTAAAATTGGCCTTGTTAACATCAAAGAGATGCTGCCTAAATTTGACTGATTTAGATGAGGGAGAAAGTGAAGTGTGCTTTAGTAAGCCTGTAGGTGAAGAGTTGTGGGGTAAATTTGCTCACTCAGTTGTACAAAGCACAACTAGAACTTTGAGTGGCTTACCTACATCTTGAATATTTTTAATGTTGATGTGTTGACTTTTTTAAGTTGACTGCACAGTCACTGTATGTACTAGGAACTGGTTTCCTTGACTTTCTAGAATCAATGGTGAAGAGAGGCACTAATCCCTGCGGGATTGAACATGTCCTGAAGCTGAGTCAGTATGGAAGAATTTCAAATAAATCAAACAGGGTGCTGAAGTTCCATCTGTCTCATGCTTAGGACAAGTTCTTACTGATTAGTGAATGTAGCTTAAGCCTTTGTATGTGTCCTCAGGGGCAGACAGACTTCAAGAGGGACCAGATAACGATTGAATGGAGGGATTATATTTCAGGTGTTTTAGCTTGAAATTTATTTTTTAAAAAAATTAAAATATTAAAAAAAAAATAGAACAAAGCCTGTGAAGCAAAATTGATGTAAAACAGGCAGAGTTGTTTAGCACAGAGAGAAAATATTGACCTGTCTGCATTCTGGTACTGTGGGTGCAGGTCCTAGCTTGGTATAACATGATACATTTTTAATTCTCACCAGCAAGAAAAAGGAAAATGTACAATCTTCAGGAAATGTGTTTGAAAAGGGTCAAATAGTAGGAAATTCAAATGTTACCTACTTTATACAGGCATTATTTAATCCTTTCTACAGAAGTATAGCATTTCCAAGCTTCTGTCTTGAGAAACATCTCAGAGCTGTGACAGTAAGTCTGAGATAGTTGAAAAATTGGTAGGGAAGGAAGAAAATCCCTGTAGATTGATCTTACGTTAGTTGGCCAAGTGATACAATCTAGCATTGTGTTTGGGAGGTTTTATTTTCTTATGTTTTTAAAATTGAATTGGTAAATGCTTTATAGACATAATTTTATCCAGATGCCACTCCAATTTGTGTGTGTAATAAAATTATATTAAAAGTGGGAAATAATTTGTCAACATATTTCTGTGATTATTGATTTATTGGGGGTGGCAAAGAAGAGTGCTAGTTAGCAGTTTTCCATGTCAAGTTGTCTCTGACTAATGTGTCCACGTCAGTTGTCATCCCCACCCCAAAAAGGAATGCGTAACCTAGATGTATCACTTGAAACTTTTTAGAAACAATAATCAGGGAAGTTCCTAGAGAGAAAGGTGTTTGTTTTTTTTTTTTTTGGTTTTCCCTTGAGGATTGGGGTAACAAATACCTCCCCCCAAAATTATCAGCACAAAACAGGGTATTGATTTTCAACTCTGATGTTGCTACTGGAGTTGAATACTAAATAAAGAACTATAATGAGGAAAATGCATTTCTAGTACAGTTTCCTACATTCTAGAAACATCCCTGTTTTAATTTTTTTACATAAATCTTTTTGTGCTTTATCTGTGTAAAGAAAAAATGTACTGAGTTATAAAGCATTGTATTAACACTATGTACATATTAGCTGCTTTGTGTTCCGAATGGTAGCATTGCTTTGTATATTAAAGTGATCCTTGTGAATTTGTGAAATATTGTCATAAAGTGCTTTTTCTTACTGTAATCTTTGTGGTAAAAACTGTCATAATGCCCTTTTACACACATTTATGTGCAGTCACATAAACATGCTTTTAAAAACTCTAAGTCTCTTTTTTTGGGATGGGACCTTTGTATCTTGGTTTTTGCTAGTAGTGTTAAATCTTTTTTTTCCCTTTGACTTAGGTTTATTGCTTTTGTTAAATGAGCAAAAGTTACGCTGGAATATATCATAGGCTTGTGTTGCACAGCAACAGAAAACTAATTCAAGCAACAAAAACATATCTTCAGTTAGTTTCACTGTCTTCCTAATTTTTAGCACAAGATCTTTTTGTTCAGTAAGATTGAACAGTGCCTATTTGGAGATGTCACTGAGACAACTAAGGGGAGACATATGACTAGCTGTCTCAATGTCATAAAATTCATGTTTGTATTGGAACAGTAAGAATTGATTTCTCAGGTCCCCTTATAATCTGAAGCTCTGTGATCATATAAAAGGAGGGAGTGTGGTTAATCTGCTCTTTGCTTAAAGCATAAGAATAAAAGACTCATACTATTGATTCCGTTTCAGAAAATAGCAGTTGCATTTATTCTAAAGTACTTATAAATTGTCATGATGTTTATGAAGTCTGTTACACCTGCCACTGTATTAAAGGAATTATCTGACTTTCAGTCTTTTGTTTTCCTCTACAAAGAGTGGCCACATAATTATACAAACAGACACTTCTGAGAGTGAAAGGTGATAGGGACAATAGGCAGAAACCAGGGTTACCCTACTTACCAGCCACAGTCAGGTGCTTGGATGGATCTCCAATAAGAAAGCACCAAGTGCTCTTGCTTTTGCTGTCACTCGCTCATTTACAACTTGAGCCTTAAGCTCCAGACTCAGTTTATCACCTCCACTCAGGTTGTAAAACATGGATCCAAAGCAAAACTTAACTTCTCCTCTACATCTGTCCTTCCTTTACCTGTTTTCCTCCTATCGATGACGCCACTGTCCACTACAGTGCTTAAGCCAGAAACCCAGGAGAGCACTGCCTTCATAGTGTTAGCCTTCGTCCCATTGTGCATTTTAATTTCTCTACATCTTTCTTACGCACATTGACCAAACTGGGACTTAGAATTCTAATGGCCTAACAAGTGAAGAGGAAAGGAAATTTCCAGGAGTTTGAGTGCTATTTTTTTGATTGAGGTACAATTCACATAACAAAATCCACCATTTTAAAGTGAGCAACTCAGTGGCATTTAGTGCATTCACAATGTATCTAGTTCCAAAACATTTTCATCACTAAAATAAAACCCCATACCCATTAGAGTTACTCTTCATTTCCCCCTCCCTCCAGCCTCTGGCAACCAGCAGTCTCTGTTTCTATAGAAGTTACCTATTCTTTATAATTCATATAAGTAGAATGTTTCTTTCACTTAACATGTTTTTGAGGTCCCTCCACATTATAGCATTAATCAGGACTTCATTCCTGTTTATGGCTGAATAGTATTCCATTATATATATGCCATTTTATTCACCTGTTGATGGATATTTGCATTATTTCCACTTTTTGCCGATTGTGAGTAGTGCTGCTAGGAACATTCATGTGCAAGTATTTGAGTCCCTGCTTTCAATTCTTTGGGGTATATACACCAGGAGTGGAATTGCTGGTTCATGTGGTAGTTATTTAACTTTTTGAGGAACTGCCAAACTTCCTCAGCAGCTGTACCATTTTACATTCTTAACAGTGAAGTACGAGGTTTCCAATTTCTCCATGTGCTGGCCAACACTTGGCATTTTACTTTTTAAAATATAACCATACTCATGGGTGTGAAGTATCATCATGGTTTTGATCTAAAAGTTCCTTAATGATTATGTTTAGCATCTTTTCATGTTTGTTGGCCATTTGTGTATCTTGTTTGGAGAAATGTCTGTTCAAGTCCTTTCCTAATTTTTAATGTTCTTTTTTTTCTGTTGAGTTTCATGAGTTTCTTATATATTCTGGATATTAGACCCTTCCCAGGTAAAATGGTTTGCAAATATTTTCTCCCATTCTCAGTTTTCTTTTCACTTTCATAATAATGTCATTCTTACTATTTTTTAACTCCATTTTTTTTAAGTGATATGTACATTTGGAAAAAAATAAACTACAAATGAACAAGCCACAAGAGGGAGCAGTATGGGATTCAGAAACAACATAAATCAAATCTCAGACTTCGCTTTAATGTTATTGAGTTCCAGAGAGAAGTCACAGCAGTGGGACAAAGTTTGTTCCTCAAGAACCTTTGGTTGGACTTTTTGTACAGTAAGCCATTTATTTCATTAAGCATGCTTAGCTTCCCTGGCTAAGACCTTAATTGACACATAATGACATTCTTATAAATGATAGCCAGCTACAAGCCCTCCCTCTGGTTTCTCTTCTGTGCTTTGTAAACATGTACATCTTTTTCAGGATCATAGTGAACCTTACTCACAGTAAATCGCCTCTCCAGCATCGCTAGGAAGTTGTTATCCCGCTCATAGCGAATTCGACAGGCTAAAAGAATCACGGAGTGGCTGCCACAGAGATGTGCCAACGTTTGAAGAAGGTCTGTGAACGTTTCTTCTAAATATATGATGTCAGCTCCAAGTATCAGGTCAAATTCTCCAGGTGAAAAACTCCCCAAATTCTGTCCCCAGGTCAGCTCCTTAACAACCGCTTTGGGTTGTATGTGGAGAGGTAGGTTGGCTTGAACGTTTGATTTAAGAAATTCTAGTGCTACTTTTCGATCCGTAATAGTCACGCGAGCACCTAGAGTGTGGGGCAGACAGAAAGTAATGGGCACATCAGTGCAACTAATAGGTAGCCAGGTCAAGTTAAATGGCAGGGTGTCTGTAAATATCCCACCTGATACGCAGATCATGCCCTTCACGGATGATTGCAGTTGATTAGAACAATGACCAGTAGCTCCTTCTGTACTGTGTACTAGTAAAAGTGAACCTTATAAAATGCAGGGTCCCCAAGTGACAATAAGCTGAGGTTTCTCAATTCTTTAGGCAGAGCTGGCCCACCCCCAAAAGGTATCTACCACTATGTTTCACTCATTAGATCACAGTCTTCAAGTCAGCAGCCTTCAGGGTAAAATGGAATCCAACAATGAAAAATCTGGGAGCACATGATTATGAAGATGACAAGACACCAAAATCAGGGAAGGGCTTTAAAGCTTTAAAAAGAATCAGGGATTAAAGCTTTAAAAAGAATCAAGGCATGCTCAACCACCGTGGCTCAGCGGCTGAGCATCGACCTAGGATCCAGGAGATCACGGTTCCATTCCTGGTCAGGGCACATGCCCAGGTTGCGGGCTCCATCCCCACTAGGGGTGTGCAGGAGGCAGCCGATCAATGACTGATCATTGATGTTTCTCTCTCCCTGTCCCTCTCTCTGAAACCAATAAAGATATATTTTTAAAAAAAAGTTAACATGTATATATATATATTTTGAAGAAAAAGAATCGAGATTGGCTACTAAGAAACCCTAGTCTGCTTCTCCTTATGCTGTTATAAAGCAGCCAACCTATATGTATTTATGTTTATACATATAGAGAGGGAGAGAGAGAGAAATGGTAAACTTAGAAGTTACTAGATCGTAGTGTGTTCTCTCAGGAGCACGCCCATGCCTTTCCCTCTCCTCCCCCCCCCCCC